AAGGTGGTGCTATTCGGCAGCGGCTCGGCACTTTGCGCTTTTAGGTAGCGGCGACGATGGTGGATCTGGGTTTTTTCCGTGGAGCAGATCGAGAACGGCAGCGGGTCTTGTTATCGATTCATCTTTTCGGCTTGGTTCTTTGTGTTTGAGTTGATCTGCGGCGTGTTGCGTGCTCTTGCGACGTCTTTGTGGGAAGAGCCGAAAGAGGGTGTTCTTGTGGTGTCGACATACGGTGATGAAAGTTAACCTGACGCGCAGGAAAGCAGAGTTATTTCATGTCTTGTTGTCCAGGTTGAGCATTGTCGTTGTTGCGATGTCAACTATGGTCGAGTTTGGATCGCGGCCCTGGTCTGCCATTGTCAATATTCGCGGACTAGTGGGCGTGGCTACATGCTGTTGGATTGGGCATGTATTGATCGTATGGGCTTGCAGTTGAACGTTAGAGACCAAGTGCAATATGGGTGCAGCCATGGTTCATATATCCTCTGGTTGAGTCATCGAGTGTTCATCATGTTCTTTGGGTCAAAGATGGCTGCGCCACGCATCTGACAGCCCCAGTCCGTGCGTCCCAACCAGCGATCACAGCAGATTGTGGGGATGGATGTGCAACAGCTACGGCCATGATGTAGAGCCAGAAAAGGTATCGATTTACTACATGCAGCATATAGAGGTTCGTTAAGCGCGCCAAACTCCTGCCCAAAGAACGCCGGCCCAAGCTTTTGATGCATCATGTACACATACTCAAACCTATAGGGCCTCAGCAGCAGCCTTGGCCTTCTCAACCTTCGCACGCTTTCTGCGCAGGTTCTCAGACTCATTTTCGCGCTTGTTTTCGCCGTATTCGATACGCTTGAGCAGCTTGCGCTTCTTATTAGACAACATCATCTTTTGCCTCTCGCGCTCCTCCTCTTCAGCGCGCTTCTTCTTCTCTGCCTTCTTGCGGATGACAGCGTTCTCCTCTTTCTTGGTCGGCTTCTTGACCTCGAGCTTCTTGCCAGTAGCCTCAGCTTCCAGTTCACGCTGGTGCTGAAGACGGGCAGCCTCTCCTTCTGAGATGTCTGACTCGGCATCGGAGTCAAGACCGTCGAACTCCTCACCACCCGCGCCAGCTTCATCTGATTCGTCGTCATCGCTGTCGTCTTCAGAGTCGTCAGCGACATCCATGCCCTCGCCAACTTCCACTGAGCCTTCACGGTCAACGATGGCGTCCATGTCTTCGTCTCCATCAACGTCGAAAGTGGCCTCCTCGTCATCGTCCTCAAAGGCCTCAGCCTCGCCCTCTGGTTGTTGTGCCGCGAGAGGCAGGTTGGGGTCATATTCGCCCTTCTTTGGCTTGACCCAAGGGCTGAGATGTGGCGGCAGATCTGCGCCAGGGGCGTAGTGATCTGGTCGCAACAGTTTGCCCTGGTTTATGCTGTCCCATACCCACTGTGGCTGGACGTAGGTGCGTCCAGGCATCATCGAGTATGGCCATTGGGCCTTGGGGGCAGCAGCACCGTCCTCCTGTGCAGGAGCACCGTTGGAAAGCGCAGGTCGATCGACGATCTGATGTGTGATGTTCGGGTCTGACTCGTTGGTTGTGAAAGCGCCGTCGCCTAGCGTTCCGTCCCAACCCACTCGCTTGCAGCCAAATGCCTTGAGTATGAACTCGAGCGATGCTCTGGGTGTCTCTCGTGCCAGATAGAAGGTGAAGGGCGCGAACAAGGATGCGATCTCGGCGCTGCTTGCTTGAGGCTGGGGCAGGATATCGGCGTCGGGCGCAGTCGGCTCAAACTTGTCGATCTCGTCGTTGGCCTCCTCTTCGTCGTCCTCGGTGACAACCTTGGCCACGGCAGTGGTGCTCTCCTCTTCTTCAGCATCGGGCATAGCTGCAAGCCTGTCGGCAATCGCCTGTGCCTCGGGGTTAACCGCACCATTCTCATCATGGCCGTTTGCGTCGTTCGTAGCAGTGGCCTTGCCCTCAAGCTGGAATGCGGCAAGCTCACCTCCCTGCTCGTCGCTCTTTGCGTTGAACTTGGGAGGATATACCAGGCCGACCGAAGTGTAGAGGCGGTAGTTGACAAAGCCGAGCAGCGTCGTGTAGAACTCGACGAAAGTGCCCATGATCCTGAAATCAATGTCACCGCCTGTTCGCTGAACGAACCTGTATGGTACCAGCCAGAGGATGTCTTGACCTTGGATCGTCGCCTGGTAGTAGATACCCTTGATGGAGAGGAAGGACTTGCGGAGGGCGTGGGAAGTGATTACGTAGTGCTCGAACTCGCGGGTCAGTCGCTGGCAGAGGGCGATGGTCTTGGCGGGGACGTGGTCGCTGGAGGGGAGGTTGGCGAAAAGGAACAGCATGGAGAGGGCATCGTCGAGGTCGCGCAGGGCGTCGACGAAGGTAGGGTAGCGCTCCTTGATGATGTGGTCGAGCTTGACCTTGGGCATGAGGTTCTTCTCGAGGCGCGACGCATCGCCGGACTCGCCGCGACCGAGAGCGCGACCGATCTTCTTTGCGACAGCCTTGTGCTCGCGGAACTTGGCCAGCAGCGGCTCGTGGAGCAGGTACTGGATATCCTTGGTGTAGTAGAAGGTGGTGCCGGCGGTCGAGCCCCTCGAGACCTTCTTCTTGTTGCGCGGCTCACGGGGGTAGATTCCCTTGAAGATACATAGTCGTCTGAAGTCGGGGAGCGAGATCTGAAGCTTCTTCACGGCGCGCGTGCGGGTGATGTAGTTCTTGGCCGCACCGGAGGTGCCTGTAAACTTATTAGCAAGATATTTCTCTCGATGATTGACGGCGATGCGCACCCTTCTTTTTTGAGCGACCAGCCATTGTAGAGAGTATGTGAAATCGCGATTCTGTCGGTGCAGACGGTCGAACTTTTGGCGGGCGCAAAAAAGTTAGAGATGCGGCCAACTAGCGGACATGGATCCGGCGTTAGCGCGACCAGGGTCCACCGACATGCATCTTGCCAGAACTCCAGCGCCGAGGTGTCGAGAACCGCCATGGAGCCAATGAGTGCATAGCGCATAGTCACCATGGCCATTGACACGCAGCACAAGATGCTGCTCTTTGCAGCCGCCGCAGCTGTGCGCCTGCTCCTCTTCACCGTCTTTCCCGCCCTGCCAGACCTCCTCGCCGGACGTGTCGAGGTGTCAACACCAGTGACGAGCTTCAAGAGATGTATGTACCTGGCATGGTCTGTGTCTAGCATTACTGACACCTACCAGTGCAAGAGGGCGTCTTCCTCTATACCCACAATGTCTCTCCCTACGACGGCGGCGTATACCACCAGGCACCCCTCCTGCTGCCGCTCTTCTCCCTCTTCCCCAACCCGGCCCATGCCCCGCTGGCGACCAACATCTTCTATACCATCGTGGACTTACTAAGCGCGAATGCCTTGGCTCAAGTGGCAGAGAGCGGGTTCGCGTCAGTCACGCGACTGTTCGCTTCCCCGCGGAAGGACTTGAGATGGAGTAGTGTGGCTATTGCAGCAGGGTAGGAATACTACGCCTCTATATACAACACATGCTAACATCTTCCAGCTTCCTCTTCAATCCCTTCACAGTCCTAACCTGCGTCGCGCGCTCGACCTCGGCCCTGACGAACCTCTTCATCCTCACGGCCATGGCCAAGGCGTCCCAAGGAGCCAGCTTCACCTTCATACTAGCCACAGCTTTCGCATCCTACTTTGCCATGCACCCGATCCTTCTCTTCCCTCCGCTCATGGTCCTTCTCTACGATGCGAAGACTTTGAAGAAGAACACTGCGCCGGATGTCGCATCCTTCATCATAACCCATACTCTTGGCATCGCAGGCGCAATAGCCATCCTGCTCACTGGCTCTGCGTTCTTGATGGGCTCATGGGACTTTCTTTCTGCGACATACGGTGTGCGTCTCCTATTACCTGATCTCACGCCGAACGTTGGACTTTGGTGGTACTTCTTCATCGAAATGTTTGACTCTTTCCGCGAGTTCTTCCTCGGTGTGTTCTGGCTACACGCGGCGTCGTATATGCCAGGTCTTACCATCCGCCTTCACAAGCAGCCATTATTCGTTGCTTGCAGTTTGACCGGCGTGTTCGCCATTTTCACACCATACCCGAGCATAGCGGATGCTGCGCTCTACCTTTCCTTGGTACCCATGTTCCGTCATCTGTTCCCTCGTGAGTGTCCCTTTCTTTCAAACTCATATAGCAATACTAACTGTATCCCAGTCATGCGCTACACGTTCTTGGCTTCGTCCGCTATCTTATACACATCGTTCTTGGGCCCCGCCTTCTACCATCTTTGGATTTACGCAGGATCGGGAAACGCCAACTTCTTCTATGCCATCACGCTGGTCTGGAGTTTGGGACTGTCCATCATTCTAGGAGATTCGCTATACGCAGCGTTGAGGGATGAGCTGGACGTGGAGAGACCCGAATTGCTGGGTAAAGAAGTACGTAGGATATAGCTTCTTCGTACGTTGGCCTATACCTTGTCAGCTTTAATCGACTCGAGAATAGACCGGAAGATATGCGCAATATCCTGTGGTAGCCGAGTGTGACTTTCGATACCATAACCAAAGAGGTCTCGTCGTGAATCACGCCAAGATTCCCAGGAACTTGAAGATACCACTCGACGTCCACCGGGAGCAAAATGCCTCATACCCATACATGTGGCTGCCTAGACACGTGGTGTCCTTGTCAGGCTAAACTCACTTGCACCATATGCTGCCACACAGTAACCTGCTAGGCCACTAAAAGCGAGGTGAAGCTGTCTCTTTAGCGCTTCTTTACCTTTCCTTATCACCTCTCACCACGACTACAAAGAATCACACAAAAGTAAAATTTGCACATCTTTAGAGCAGCCTGCTCACTGCTGTAGCCCAGCATATAAGGCTCGTATCTCCTCGTCTTCTTCCATCTTCCCTCTTCACTCTTCCACCACTCTTTCATCAACACACCAGTACCAATTCGGACTTCAACAACTACAGCCACCAACACCAACACATCTACATCTACACCAACACCATCATGCCCAAAGAGAGCCTGTCCGCCCGCGAGATCGAGGTCCTCGCCCTCGCATGGCAGTGCGTCGATCCACAGCCCAAGGTATGAGTTCCACCCCTTCCACTCAACACAAGCACTGACACTCCCAGGTCGATATGGTCAAGCTCGCCGCCCTCACAGGCTACACCCCGGGCAGCGCATCAGTCACTTTCGGCAACATCAAACGCAAGCTCAAGAACATGGCCGCCGGTGCCTCCGAGGACAGTCCTGCCACACCCGCCGCAAAGTCACGTTCCGGTGGCCGTGCCAGAGCTACTGCTACCTCCACTCCCAAAAAGCGAGGCGCGACTGCCGCTCCCACCTCAGCTTCCAAGCGCTCTAAGAAGGGTGCCGCTGCCCGCGAGACTACTTCCTCTGCCTCCGACGGCAACAACGACGACGATGATGACGACGACTTCGGCCTCAACGGTCCCAAAGTCAAGAAGGAAGAGCCTGCCTTTGACGACGGCTTCGATCTCGTTGAGGAAGACGTCTCCAGTCGCGATGCCAGCATGAGCTACGGTTTCCTCGATGGCATTGAGACCTTTGGCGGTGGTGGTGCTGCTAAGGGATCTGGTCGGAATGCGTCTAACGGGTACCGTACGGTACAGTTGGAGGAGGATGAGTAGGAAGCTGGCGGAAAAGTGGGGCTAGTGATGGGAATGTGATGGCGTTTGCGTGCGTATTCGGCTGGGATGAGGGAAAAGTTTGGGCTTTTATGGCGAGTTCATGGTATGGGCGTACGGCTACATCGTAGTGATTGTGGTCATTTCATCAAATTTCATATATGCCTGGTGTACTTCGCGTAGCCTGCTGGGAAAATGTGACACCGTGAGACATACTGACTACCTCCAGGCTGCCACGAAACCAAGTCGTCTGTCAAGTTTTGTGGCATTGTCACCTCCAGGATACGAGACGTTCTGAATGTGTGAATTGGCTTGCGATACGCTAACTGCGGGATATGATTACAGCAGAACGCTAGCCTGACCTAGATCCGATCCCTCTTTCCCATATGAATACATCCCATTCCCGATCGCCCATGTTGCGCCTTCGATACATCTATCTTACATGCTTTTCTCTCATAGGAGACACTCAGACACTCAGAGCGCAGAGATGGCTTCGAGCAGCACATCCAGCGCCCGATCACCGACTCCCTCCAAGCCTTCCCTGAGAGTCCAAGCAACGTCACTCTGTAGACCCAGCGGCACGTAAACACCGCCCTCGTCCTTATTGACTTCCATTCTCTCTCCCAGCCTACTCGTGTGCTCCCACTCTCTAGCCGCCTTCTCCGCGTTCTCGATGACCTTGCTCGGGATACCGCACATGGCTGCGCAGTGCATACCGAAACTACCTTCGGCGACACCCTCCTCAAGCTTGTAGAGGAAGGTGATGGACTTGGAAGCATCATCCACATGGATACGCATACGCTTGTTTACGACTTCAGGGTGGAACTCGAACTCCTTAGCTAGAGAACGGTAGTGAGTGGCGAAGAACCCGACGCAGCCCACGCGTGTGCTGATGTCGTGCAGAACGGCTTGTGCAACCGCCACACCGTCGTAAGAGGATGTACCGCGACCGAGCTCGTCGAGGATGACAAGAGACCGAGGAGTCGCTTCCGAAAGTATCTTCTGTGTTTCTGACAGCTCGACGAAGAAGGTGGATTGAGCTGCGAAGATGTTGTCATTGGCGCCGAGACGGGACATGATGCGGTCGACGGGTGTGAGTCTGGCCGATGTGCAGGGAAGGTAACAACCGACTTGTGCGAGGATGACCGCTATGCAAGTCATACGAAGGATAGTCGATTTACCGGCCGCGTTGGCACCAGTCAGTAGACTGATGTTGGCCGAGTCGCCGCCTAGTCTGATGTCGTTGGGAATGAAGTCGTCGACTGTGTTGAGCATGCATGGGTGACGAAGCTCTTCTAGCTCAACGACAGTTCGGTTACCCTCCTCGAACACTGGACGACAGCTGGGCTCTCCGAGTGAAGCAGACGCCTTTGCGAGACTGATCAGGCAATCTAGTTGAGCGATGATCTTGACTGCCGCGAGCCAGACCTTGTAATCCTCATCGAAGCGTTGGCAGAAGCGAGTGGCAACTTCGCGTGTAATCTGACCATGCGTCTCCTGCGCTTCTTGTAGTGCTCGCACCAGCTTCCTCAGTTCGGGAGTGTAGTAGCGAGTAACCTTGGCAGTGGCGGACATTTGATCCCAGTTGTTGGGAACTTTGACCTTCTTGGGTACCTCTAGTTGGTAGATTTCCTTGCCAATGTCGTTGTATTGAACAGCATTAGAGCCAAGCTCTTTGCGGGCCTTCTTCAACAGTACATCGAGATTTGCTTTGCAGGTGTCGATCTCCTCCTGGCTGTTGTCAAAGTCTTCTTCAATGCCAGGCTCAGGAATAAGTAGTCCTTCTTTCCGTGCGATGTCTCGATCGAAAGCTGAACTCCATTTAGACAAAGACGCAGCCAGGTCAGGCATAGAAGAAATAAGTTGACCAATGATACCTTCACCCTCACTGAACTGCTTCAACAGGCTAATGGTATACTCAATCTGCTCGAAGCCCTCCAGCACCTTGAGGAAGTCTTGCGCTCTGCATCGGCCCGCGTGCACACGAGAAATGAGACGCTCGAGATCGGGCAACTTGCTAAGGGACGCACTGAAGTTGTCCATGATGGTAGAGTCGGCATTCAATGCATCAACAGCATCTAGGCGAGCGTTGATTTTGGTTGCATCTGCGAGAGGATGACAGACCCATTGTCGCAGTAATCGCTTGCCGAATGGGGTGATGCAACGATTCAGCATAGCGAACAGAGTACCCTCGGTTGATCCATCGAACGTGTTGGCGAAAATCTCCAGGTTGATCAAGCTCTGGCCGTCGAGGACCAGACTTGTGGCTTTCCGGATGGGGTCGTACCACTGAAAGTTTCCGAGTGTGACCAGATCGCGCTCGATCATCAGCGTCCGAAGGTATTGAAGAAGAGCACCAAATGACGACATGATCAGCTCCTGCTCTCGGGCTTCACGGAGGACCGGTGGCCATGCCTCAATGTTGTCTTCTGTGGGTGACTCAAAGTAGTTATTCGCTTCAATCTCTCGGATGGTGATGTCTGCTGGCCAGAACTCCTTGTTGGGCTTCAAATAATTCCAGATAGTTGTGGGTGGCGTGTTGTTCTTGAGTATCCGCAGAGCTTTCGCAGACACACATGACTTCTCCAGGAGTAGCTCACCGGGCCTCATCTGGGCAATGAGGGTTTCGAACTTGGTCATATCGACATCGTCAGTGAACTCGCAAAGCTGGAACTGTGCAGTAGCAGTATCGACAAAGGCAATTCCAAAGGCTGGCAGGTTGTCGCGATCGATCTCCTTAATGGCCATGCAGTATGTCGACATCTCACTCTGAAGCATGCCGGTATCCACAAGCGTACCCGAAGTGAGTACTGTAGCCAGCTCTCTTCGAATCACTTTGTTTTCCTTGCCACCCTTCTTTGGCGTCTTGCCCTTGTCGTCACGCTCACGCATCTCCTTGCCTAGAGCCGACTCCATTTGGTCAACTCTAGCAACCTTGTGGCCTGCTGCTACAAACTGGGTAGCCCACATGTCCAAAGAAGCCTCTGGTACACCGACCATCCTCATGTTGACCCGATCAGTCAATTTGAGATCGAAGAGCTGATGGCCTATAGAGGCATCCTTCTCATAGAGCTCGTAGAACTTGCCCTTCTTGAAGAAGACGACAGTATCCCACCACTTGCTCTTAATCTCCCAGTACTGCTTTTCAAAAGCAGAAAACTTGTCCCAGGCACCCGGGGGAATGTATAGTGTGCGAGGATCGTAGTCTGGATGGTCGACGGGGTGTCGGTCAGCGTCCATCTGATGCGCGAGCCATGGGTATCTCGTTTCGGGCTCAGACGCGCTGGGTCGTTCTTTGATCTTCTTGCTGGGGTCCTTCTTCGTCGCTTGCACAGCCGTGCGAGGCTTGAACACCATTGGGTTGTCTGGGTCGTAGATCCATTGTTGTGCAGTAGATGTGCTGTTCATGACGACATCGCCATCGTCCTCTTCATCTTTTGCTTCGATTATGGGCGGTGACGATGCTGGGGATGCTTTAGTACGAGCCTTGGGTGCTGCTGAACGTTTGCGCTTCTTCGAGACGACTTCCTCATCGGAATCGTCTGGCACAACGAAGTCATCAGCATCGTCGTCGTCTTCCTCGAGCATTGCCTTCTGTGTGGCCGCGTCTAATCCGAACTCGTCGTCTGAATCGTCTTCGATGGTGACCCGCTGGCGTTTCGTAGCTCTGCCTCTTGCATTGTTTGCAATTGGACCCAGCACATCTTCGTCGTCGTCATCTGACTCGGCGTAGTTGACGGGCTTTCGTGCCTGAATTAGAATGTCAGTAAATGCAGCTGGGTACGCAATGGCATGTCTCGCGTACCTTGCGTGTTGGGCTACTGGGAATGGCATCTGTATGCTTGGCCAGTATGTTCTCCTTGTTCCTCCCCACTGTCAATTCATGCTCCTGTTTGATGGGACTCGAGTAATCGGGAGCGTCGCTGCTTGGTACGGGAGTGATGGCGGCAGGCGGCTTGTCGAAGGCCTTCTTCGCCAATTTCGATGTAGGCGTCTTGTTGACTGGTGTGGCATCGGACGGCGCGGGGCTTGGTGAGTTTGTAGACTTCTTCTGGAAGAACCCTAGGATGGACTTTTGGCCCTTGGCCGATTGCGACGCGGAGGCGGGCTGCTTCTTCTGTGAAGCGCGAGGTGTCGACATCTCATTGCCTTCCACGCCACGAACCATGATTGCGGTGGTATGGGGATGCACAAAGTGAGGTATTGAGAATCTAGTGCTTTCAACGGCTGTCGCTGCCAAATCCCGGGGAAGGAAGGGACGCGTCGGACGCGTTGCGCTAGTCCGCGTCGGCACCTAAGTGGCTTGGCAGATGATGCAACGCGCAGATGCTCATCAGTTACAATAAAAGCGCCCGACGGAGAGTGTTATGCGAAGCACATATTTCATGACGAATTCTTGTTCTAGTGGTTGCTTTCATTTGTTTTACTATCCTACAGCAGATGCCTAGGTTGTCTGATTCTTCCTTCATGCGCTCAGACCAGCAGTCCGACTTGTCAAGCGTGAACCTATGCAGCGCATCGGTCAACACTTGAGTTTCGTAGTCATCTTGCATACGCACTCATTCATAGACTATCGTGCCACTTCTCATCCATCATCATCGTGAGTGCTGTACCTTGCAAGGCTGTTAGACTACCAATTGCTGCCCAAACTTCGTGCATCAATTGCCGATACCTGAGGGTCTTCGCGAATCCTATTTCGCCTTGCCCTTGGCCGCCTTGCTCTTGTCCACCTTTGTGGGTTGGATACGCGCCATCATCTCCTCCTTGGTGATGAGATGGTCAACGCGCTCGAGCAGACCCAACAAACTCTTCATATTTCCACTCCATTCGTTCAGCACATCGTCTGCGTCCCTGGGCTTCGAGAAAGTGACGATGCGGGCGGGTCGATCAATCTTGGCGTAGATGGTCTTTGCAGACACCAGCTCGCTAATGTTCTTCTCCGTCTCATCCTCGGTCAGATCTAGCAGCTCTGTCAAGCGTGGGATCTGAATACGTGTGTAGTACTTGGCCACGACGCGAACGTTGTGCTCGATGACACGCTTGCGGAGATCCTGCCACCTCTGGAATGCCTTGGGGTCATCCGAGTCGTCCTTCTCCGCGTCGAATACATCAGTCTCCGTGAGGTGAGGCCCGAACTGCTTCGCAACCATCGGCCACCTCATCAACTCAGGCACAGTGAAGAGCTTAACTAGTTGTGCGTCTTGTGGGATCTGAGAGTTGCGCGAGTCGCGTTGGATGCGGTGGATGAGATCGGACTGTTCGTTGTCGTACGGTGCGAGGATGATGAAGTAGATGACGCGCTGGAGGATCTGCAGTTATGTTAGTAAGAGCTACAAATGCGACCAGGCCTCTGAACATACTGCTCGAAGCTTGTTGGGGTCCTCCTCCACAGCCTCGGTATCCAGTACTTGTCGGTAGTGCTTGCAGACGTCCAGGTATTTGTTGTCGTGCTTGGCCAGGGTAATCTGCTGCTCGTAGTACTTGAGCTTCAGGTCCGTTACATCGTCCTCAGGCTCAATGGGCGGGTCGTCGGCGCTCCGGTTCTTCTCCTTCTCTTCCCGCTCCTTCTGGTCCTTCTCCAGCTGCTCGGGGGTCTTCTTCGGTCTCCGCGCAAAGTACCGTGTGCTGATCTTCCTGCTCAGAATACCGGCCTGTGTCCAGTCGCCCTTCTGTATACATAGCGCCACTTGTTGTAGGATGAATTCGGTCTTCTCGCGACGGGTCATGGAACCAAAGGTCTCGACTTGCAGCTCGCAAAGGATGTCCGTCGCGGAATCGATGTCGCCTTGCTCCTTCTTGATGTTGGACAGGATGCGGGTTACTCGGGCACGCTCGACTTCGACGAAGATCTACCATCGTGTCAGCACCAGCACGTACGTTGTTCGTTGGGGTCGCCTACCTTGCCCTCTGTGACTGTCCGTAGCGTCTCGATGACGGACAGCTTTGTCTCTAGGTTTGGAGTCTCGTCCAGGAATCCCATGACTGTCTGCACCATCTTGGTGGTGGCCTGCTTCAGTTGTCCATGCTTCTTGGAGAGGAGCAGGACCTGCTCGTTCATCAAGTTCCAGTCCTTCGCATTCTTCGCTATTGTGACGATGGCGATTATGACGCGGGAAGTCGAGGCGAGATCTGAGGCCTGGGAACAGTCAGAATACGATATGCGCAAGGGATACGTGGAAGCGTACCTGACGGGTCTGCTTCTCGAGCGTGAGCAGCTTGTCGATTCCAGCTTGCGGATTGCTCTAATCAACTCTATTAGCTTCGCCTCAACTTTGATAGCCATCAGACATACAGAAACTAGCTTCTCCGCCTCTGGGATAGCCGCATCGACCTCCTTGGTAAAGTCCTTGTCGGCCTTGAGCACTTCTCCGCTAGACATGGTGGCGGGGTCGTGGGGTTTATCTGTCAGGTGTCGGGGTATTTGCTATCTCCCAGGTGAAGTAGAGACAGCGAGTACTAGTATCGAATGCGAGAAGGGAAGGTGTGGGATGGGGCGGCGACGTTGTTTGGTCGTGTTGCGGCTCGTCAGTGATGTAGAGATCCACACTCCGAGCTGGGGCGCTTTGGCCACCGCCTTGCGCTAGGTCCAAACATCCGCCGCCGACGAGCCTCATCTTGGAGCAGGCGCGTCTCTTACATCACACCTGCATCGTCCCGTGCGCGAAGCATGCCACACTCTGTTCGATGATTATACGACGTCTGATAGCTATTTCTAGTGATGACGACAGCTTGCTGAACTTCAACAAGCCCATTCGCAACTTACAAAGTGCAATCTTCTAGAATCCGCGTCCCAATTGGAAACTCCGTAACCCGTTTTTTAGAAGATTTTTGTACAAGGCCATGACTTGAAGACTTACAAAGACCTGTAGGATACCTGACTCGCCTGAAGCCAGCTCTCAAACAGCTCAATAACACTGGTACTCTGTTGTATAACTGCAACATCGTAGGTTGGGCACTTTGCACACTCCAACCAAGAGTTGAACTTTCGATCATGAGTAGTACTTCTAACGACGCTCATCCGCAGACGTGTGTATAAATAGCTTTCCAGTCGGCTTCCCAGTATCCAACGCTTGCAGCGGTCAAAGGAGCCTTTCCTACAGGCGCGATCTCTTAACGCGTTCCTCCTCATCCACCTCCTCGCATTCAACCAATTCGTCATGACTCCGGCGACGAGGAGTTACCTGGAGATCCGGCTCGTCCAGCGATACCACATCCACATCATCTATACCTCGCATCGCCTCTTCCACTTCATCGTCATCAAACTCATCTGAACTAGTATCAGAGACTGTATCAGAGACTGTGTCGCCCTCTTCGTCCACTTCTCCCCGGCCTGGCCAACTAAACGTAAACACCGGTCGTTGGAAATTCACCTCCCCTGTTTGACCCGGCAGCCGCTTTCCACCCACGGTGCTCCTACCCACAACCATCATGAGATCTTCCTCCCCATCTCCTTCATCAGTAGTATCGCTCCACTCACTTTCCGTCCCCTCATCTTCCGAGTCTAAATCCACGTCTGTGAAACCCGCGAAACGACCTTTGTTCATGTCTTCATCCGTTTGAGGAGTTTCATCTTGAGCTGCTGTCAATATTTTCAGCTCTTCTTCTTCGGCGACCCCAAACTCGTCGTATGCGGAGTTGTTCGCAAAGCTCGTATCGACCTTTGTACTACCGTATGGACTTGCGTGTTTGCCTTTCTCGTAGGACTTAGAAGTGCGATTATAACACAAGGACCGTCGGGTGGAGGGAGAGGGGAGGTCGTCCGGGAAGTATACGCCGATCATGGGAGTGGATGGTACAAAGGAAGAGGACCGACTTTGGGGTGGAGAGGATGGCGGTGGGGGAGAAGATGTGTCGACGGTTGAGCTGGCGGAAGTCTTACTTCGGGGAGAGGCGGTCGGAGAGTCTGCTCGGACGACTGCGCGGTCGGCAGGCGGCGAGTCTGAATGGTCTCTGAGGTAGTAGTCTGCGGTACTGTCGTCTGCCTCCTCTGTCCTATCGGAAGCCTCCTTGGAGTACCGTAACGTTTCTGAATCAGTCCCAGGCGTCTCAGGTAGAGAACACGGCAGTTCATCGCTGCTAACAGAGTCGTCTCGTAGTTTATCCCCCTCGCCGCGCTTTCTCAAATGCCTCGTCGGGACGAAGACATCACTCCACCCCTCCCCAAGAAATGGACTCTGCCCCGCCAGCTCCAGCGCTTCAATACAACTACTCGCCTCCGTCACCGCCACCGGGACCGCAAGACCATCCCGTCTAGAGTCCTCCTCCCACGCCCTCTCTCCCATCGCGAAATCCTCATACGTATCAACCAAATTCGCCCACCTCTTTTTCTCCACAATCCACAACCCCTTCGCCGCAAGATATATCGCATACTCTTCAGGATCTACAATGTGCACCCCCGCTTCATCTCGACCGGGCCTATACGGTCCACCGACGATGCGCCAGACATGCGCGATGCGTTCGAGAGAAGCGAGACATTGTTTCATGATGCAGACTGGACAAACTTCGATTTTGACGCATGGGTTACCGGGGTGGATGGTGTGTTTGCAGACGCGCGCGACGAGGAGGTCCGATGGTCCTCTCTCTGCCTCTTCGTCGTCGACGTCCGTGAAGATGTGGGAGAGGTCTGTGTCGCGACCGTGGAAATGCTCTTCGACTCGTGGTGTGTTCATAAAGGCTTTGAAGACTGGCGGACTGGGTATACCGCCGATGTCTTCCTGCTGCACCGCATACACGGTCTTTTTCCATGCTTGCCAGGTCAGATATAGCGACTGTTGCTCGGGATCGTCGATGTTGGCTTGCCAGTTGACAAAGTGTGGGTATAGATCTGGTCCGAAGATCAAAGCGCTGGCTCTTGAGGCGGTGAGCGGGCGGGTTATCGCATTGGCGGAGTGAAGGGCATCGGTGGCGGTAACGAACGGGATCGGCGCCATAATGATATGATATGTTTGATGTAAGACGTGTGAAGTGGGGAAGCAATTGCGTCGGTAAAGTTGTTTAGTTAGGCGCGATCGATGTGAGTCAGGTAATAGGGTAGTCAGTGGTTCTTTCACTGAGTCGTCCTGAAGGTACGTGCAGAATGTACCTGCGTACTATCACCTGGCGGTTGGATGCAATCCACGTTGCTATTGGGACACTCCATTTTGTATTAGGATTTGTAGAGTTTTCATGCGCTCTCCATGTGCAGGACCTCGTTGTACCATGGTTTGTGATGACTTGTAGTGTTGAGCCACTCACAGCGGTCCTATATCGAATGAGTACCAGATGGAAGCATTTTGCCGAATGAGTAACATCGTAATGCCGAATCCTTAAACTGGGTGATGATGGTTCACAATGTAGACAAGAATCATGAAATTTGGAAGATTGATTAAATTATTTGATTTGCTGAGATTGGGAAAAGTATGGACTCGTGAAGCTAGGGGTAGATGTCCGTGTGGCGGTATCGAAGTAGAACGAAAGAAGAAGACCTGTCCTCCTCGAGATGGCAAGCCATTTAATGAATCTCCTGCGATGATGACAAAGAAGAATAGAACAGACGTGAGGCTCGCCTGACTCTCGTGTGCAGATCTGAAAGCGCACACAGACCGCCCTGTAGTGTCCTGGGCATGTCCGCTGTATTGCGACACATCGTTGTCCCTCTTACATAGTCCACCCAGAAAGGAAGTGACAAACCAACGTTATCGCCGCTACGCATATGACCTCGAAAATACCCTCATACGCGGCATGGCGTTGCGGCGCAGAGGGAGAGGGTACGGCATGCCGGGAATATAGCGATCGATTATGACCCAGCGATTGGCTGGCACGTATCGATCGAGCTTCAGCCGTCTGCGTGAGCGTCCTCGTTCATCCACGACCCGGTTGATCTTCCCTTGTGCCAGCCAGATGGCTTCCTTTCGTTCCACCGTCAAGGTGATGTCGCGTGGGAGCCTTCGTAGAATCCATACGTGACGACCCTGGCCGTCCATAGCGGCGTCGATATCTCGCTGGAGGATGAAGAGTCGGTTGACGGAGTTTGGGTGGATTGTTTGACCGGGGTAGGTGCATAGTCTGATTAGGTCGATGATGCTGTTTCGCTTCGGCGCGGCCCGTGGCTGACGCGCGGGAGAGCTCGAGTGCTGGTACGAGGACGATCCGGTTGAAGCACCGTAGGCGAAGTTGCGCGGTGCGTCTTGGGAACTGTCGACGGACTCGCTCTTGATGAAGACGAGGGCTTCTTCACGGGCTTCTTCGCGGGCCTTCCGGGCTTTGCGCTGCCTCTTGGCTGCTCTCTTGCTTGTCATCGTAGTCCGTTGCTTGGGTATTCTTACTTCTCTGGCCTGCTGCTGCTTGTCTTCTTCTAAGAGCTGTTGTTGAAGTCTGGTTTCGAGTAGATGTGGGCGAAACACTGAGGTGAGTGGTGATGCGGTGAAAAGAGCAGGCGGTGAGTTGTTGTTGCTGCTTTCCGATGCTACTTCGGCAGGAAGGCGCGTCCTTGGGGCATTCATCACGACTGGTAATGGCAGTGTACTGGCGTTCTCTTCTGGGCAGGAGTGTTCGACTGTTTCAGCAGCGGCACCAGCATCGTTCTTCGCGCGTTGAAATCTTTCGTATTCCAGTTGCGCTTTCGTCCGCCTCCTCCTTGGTGTCTTGTCCTTTCCTCGGCCACATGGCACCGCATTCCCGCCTGCCTTTTTTTTTTGTGGTAGTTGCACTTCGGGTGACTCTTGCAGCGATTGGTACTTTCTGTGTGGCAGTTGCACTTCGAGTGATTCTTGCAGCGAGTGGTATCTTCTCCGCCTTTGGCTTCGAAACGTGGCCACTCGGAGCTGTCTGTGAGGAAGCAGCCGTTGGCTTCGTCTGACTTCGCGTGGGCTGCTCTCGCCGCAGCCAGCGTAGAATGTTGCCGTCCTTCATGTCGTTTTGGTAGAGTAGGTTGTTGAAGTGGAGCGTTTGAAAAATTGCCGTAAGTCACCCAAACTTTCTTATCGATAGTAAGTTCCTGTTGACTGAGATCCTTCTATCTCATCCAGTATTTGAGGCGACGCGCTGTTCCTGGGGATACGCGTTGAGAGGTTCACGTGTTAGACACGCTAGCGAGTCAGAACGAGAAGAAACGAGGGGCACGAGGTGGCTGGGAAATGAGCAATTGAACAGATGTGAAATCTCAAAGCGAGAATTGTTCTTTATAAATCTACGAACGGAGTCTCCTCTCGGGCTCTGCGGATGCAGGGTTATCAATATATACGCTGAGCCGCGTTGGCGCATTGAAACCCCGCGCAGCTCATCGCGAGATATCGCTGTGAGCAACCCTGGAAACGACAAGCGTCTCCTCGTCGTTTCTTTTTCTCAGCCGAGCTCAAGGTTATCTCCACACTGCTCGATCATCGGGTTATGCTTCGATTGCGATTGACATTGATGCCATTAGTCGTATGTTGTTCGTTCGTTCGGACTTCTTGCAACCTTGCTCAGGTGCCGAAGGTGCTGGCGAGGAGATGCGCGATGCCGATTTCAGTTACGGCATGTTCGGTCCCACCCCTTACTGCATCAAACCCCCACTGGTGCAACGCATGCTGCAAGTCAATGGTGGACTGCCCATGGCAGCACGCCAACCTAGGAAAAAACCGAACAACCTAGAGCCTACGTTGACGTTGGGTCACTCACTTCGCAGATTCTTGTCTTGATGTAGTCTGCAGGCCTGTTCAGCTTTTTCCTTATATGAGGTGGCAGCACTGCTCAGGTGATTCCTTCCAGTCTCGATCCCGTGCTTGCAGCAATAAAAGACCTTCCACTATAGACTTGCAACCCATCCGTGTCCAGGTGCCATCATATCCCATGTTCCTCATCCCTCAACTTCCAACCCGACGTCTCACGATCACTCCACGCAAGCGAAATCCTGACCTTCAAACCCTCTTTCTCCGCTAGTAACCTGTTGACCTCTCTTAACATAGCTTTTGCGAAGAGCGCCGTCTCCAGAGTGTCCGCAGCGTGCAAGACGGGCAGTGTGAGAACACTCCAGCCGGCATCATTCCGTGAAGGACGAGCGTGGATACACTGAGGAGATGAAGCATTATTCTTGATAGCCATTGCCCTCTTTCCATGTTTCTCCTTTCTCATCTTGAAAGTCGCTCTGTCCATCACTTCTTGCGCTATCCTGAGTGTTCTCCTTTGTTGCGCGCTGAGATAGATGGATTTGGGTACGTTGGTCGTGATGTTCAAAGATTCGCCGGTGCCGGCCATGGCTTTGTCTATCGCGTCTTGTAGGCCGCGCAGCCTCTCGATCTCAACGGTTTCTAGATGGCGGTTGTGAGGCTCGCAGAATGCTCGGATGTTGGTCAGGGGTAATTCGCGGGTACGTCTCGTGCCTGTTGGGATGGTGGCCATGTGCGGTGGGCCTCCATCGTCGTCTCTCCTGATCTTCTTCCGCGTGTGCTGATCGTTTACTGCGGCTATGTAGTTGCAAACGTCGCCCACTCCCGGGTGGGCCTTACGCTTCCTGTCTACCGAGATCGGGCTCATAGTGTTGTGTGGGTACCTAGGTATTTCGGACTTGTGGAGTTTTGGTGTGTGAGAAACGAGGTTGCACTTATCAGAGGGAACGTCGCTATTTATTGGGAGATTCAGGCATCGTGTATGTCTGTTGGGAGTCGTCAGTCACTCGTCGTTTATGGGTCATGGCAGTACCATGGGATGGGATAGAACCAGATTTCGAGGTTTTCGCACACACACACACACACACACACACACACACACAGTGAGTCACCAATCAGAGAGAAGATGTACCAAAAGCAGTCTTTTACGCATGCACTCCATCACAGCCAGAAAGTGGTGATGTTGTGTGCGGGCCTGAAGCATTCGGTACCACGGAAATGCAGCTCGAAGTGTGTAAGACCCTTGTACCTAGGCCCAATACAGGCACACGCACACAATACAGCAGATCCATCATGCAACACATGTTGAGAAAGATTACTATACTAACGATTATAGTAAGCCAAAGATAAAGTCGCTAAAAGTAGAACAGATCGAGCGAAGGATAGAAAGCCGAAGAAAGGTAAGATGCTCAATAGGATTACAAGAATTCGTATCCGTTCCTTCGCCCTAAAAGGCGGGTTTGCCTGCGCCTTCAAATCGTGCCTTCCCAATCGTAGCTTCCCATACCGCACCGCCCCGTTAACGCCAAAGCATCGCTAAGCGCCAGAAGAAGAGGGAAAGAAGAAGATGTGAAGGGAGTTACCGAGGCGAGACACGAATTGGATGGCGTTGCGGCGTGACTCAAAGAAGATCGAGTGGAAGTCGAAGAGGTGAAGGTCGAAGTAAAAGGGTGGTTTCAGTGACCAGAGTCGCTTACGCGTCTCCTCCGCCCTCGACTACCGCCTTCAGGCCGCTGAGCAAGAACGTCACGAAGTTGCGGATCGTCTTTGTCTTTATCAGTGTGGTGTACGCGTACATGTCTACAGGATTTGTTAGCTCTGCACTGCTCAGAATTTCCACCGTGAGTGCGTACCTCTGCAGGTTATCCGGTCTTGGATACTTGTGTTCGCGATCCGGACAAAACGGGCATACGTAGCCAGGCGACTGATGCACAAGTCCGTGCCGTATCATCTCGTTCTTTCGTTTGAAGCCTTTGCCACCCTCGCCTCGCGGACAATCTTTGACAGGGCAATAGTGCGGGCGATTTGAGGAATGAACGTTGGTGTGTGAACTAAAGAGGTCAGCATGTCCGACCCTATGATACTGGGGATACTCAAGTCTGGACTCACTTAAGAAGGTACTGCGTCTGGAAAGGAAGAGCGGTGCAGCCTGGATAATCGCACTTGAAGGATCCAACGATATGCTGAGTCACACTTTGTTGTAGACCAGAGCCAAGCGGAGGTGGCAGGACCCTCGACGCAAGCGCGCCATCTAGACTCATATGTCGAGGTCTTTGCTCAATAGGCGTTTGCTGTGTACCAGGGCTGATACCCTCCGAGCTCTGGTAGCTGTCGCTCGTCGATGCAGAGTGCAGTGTCGCTGTGTAAGGACTGTTGTCTGACGCGGCGTGCGAAGGTCTCCGAGCATCCGTGCCGAATGCGCCTCCTCCTGAGGTGCGGAGGAATAGATCGACACGATGTGGTAAATCGTGGGCACTCATTGGCGATGACGCACTTAGCGAAGGGAACGGTGTGGCTGGAGAATGAGAACTCATGGATAGCTGGCGAACCATCGATGTTGGTGACGCTCCTACTGAGGAAACCGATTGTCGATGGGGGAAGCTGATACTGTTTGCTCTCGTTGCTTCGTGGTCATTTGTTGCTGATCTCGCAATATCATCGATGTGACGGAACGAAGGTAGCTGCTGGCTAGGCGAAGTAGCTGCTCCATCACGCGCAGGAGATGGGGCTTGTAACGCAGGCAGTGTGTCTGCTGGAAGTCCTCCCCTTTGCGGAATTGTTAGACCGAGAGATGGTGCTGGATCATTGCCTTGAGGATGGCCATTGGGAAAGCCTCGAGGTGGCTGGCTCGGTGGATACAACGATGCGTTCGACAAGGCGGACGATATAGACAGTGTTCGATCGGTTCCATTTGGACTGGGATGCACGCCGTTTGGTGCTACATGAACTGCTGAAGCTTGAGATGTGCGCCTATCTGCTGCAAATCCGAAAGGCCTAGTAGTTTCGTCTTCGATCACTGAGTCTCTGTGGGTAGCTGTCGCTTTTGAATCAGGTGCTGAGCTAAGCACTTCCTGCAGAGTAGGTGCTGAGTTGGCAGGACGAGCCTTTGGTGGCACTGGCTGGCCATTGTTGGAGACGGACGGTGCCGTTGCCGTGCCGGGAGAGTCGGCATCAGGCATGTCGTCATCCTCAGAGCAGTGCGAATCAGAGTCGGAGTTCAAGGCCTGCTCGCTTGCTTTTTGTGCAATGTCTGGCCGGTTTGGGTCCATCTCACGAATGAGCACCCAGTCCCCTTGGGTGGGGCGAGTTCGGGGCTTATGTTTGTTAGGCCTTTTCCGATTTCGAGATGGAGGAGGACTGACACTCTGTCGGTTGGGTAGGTGACGGATGACTGGTGTCACGTGTGGCTGCGGCGTCGGAGATGGTGTTGCCTTTACAACACGAGCTTCCAAGAGTGGTGATTTGGAGAAATGGTCGTCGTCCTGGTAGTATTCCACTGGTTCCACGGATTGGATGGCGTCGAGCACCTGCATCTGGACAGCAGATTCCGCGGTATAGGAAGATGGTCGTTAGTTAGGTGGAGTGAACTGGCGATTATCCCAACGACCGTTCAGCAAAGGCTCCCAGGGATAGGCCCAGGCGGCGGTGAAGAGAGCGGGTGGCACAGCAAGACCAGTCTTGAATCGCTGTCTGGAGGAGAGTCAGCATGACCATGGGCTGCATTCTTCTCGCAACGATGGAGGCGGAAAGTGCTGGGGCTGCGTGTCTGTGGGATGGTGACAGAAATGAGAAAAGCTGCGGTGCCGTCGGATGCGAGTTGGGCTAGAGACGCTCGGGTCGAGCGACTGGGGCAGAGCAGGGGTGAGAGAGTGGAACAGACGGGTTGTTGGTCATCGGGGTGGGAATGCAGCGAGCAGAAGCATGAATCGCGAATTATATGTGGAGATATGATGCAAAGTAGCGACGCCAACGGTGAAGCGGCTCTGCGCGGTGGAAAACATACCCGAGGGTGCCAGTGCGACGGCTCTTT